AGGGTTAGTCAACATCATAGAGACAGTAAGTAGAATAGAGGTTACCAAGAACTGGGGGCAGAAGGGGAAAGGGGAGTTATTGTTTAATGAGGATAGAGTTTCTGTTTGGAATGATGAAAAAGTTCTGGAAATGGATAGTGGTGATGGTTATATAACATTATGAGTGTACTTACTACCACTGAAATGGTTAAAATTATAAATTTTATGTTCTATATATTTTATCAAGAAAAAAGTGAATGGATAAACTGTGGTTCATCCATACAATAAATATTGTTTATCACTAAAAAGAAGTGAGCTTATCAAGCCATGAAAAGACATATGAGGGTTGTCCAGAAAGTATCCAGCCATGTACTATGAAAACTACTAGGACCAGTGGCTTGATGCTTTCCAGACAGCCCTTGTAGAGGAATCTTAAATTAAATGAAAGAAGTCAATCTGAAAAGGCTGCACAGTGTATGATTCCAACTACATGACATTCCAGAGAAGACAAAACCATGGAGGCAATAAAAAAATCAGTGGTTGCCAAGGGTTAGAAAGAGGAAGAGATGAATGTGGATCATATGGATGTGTTTTTTTTTTATTGTTTGTGACATGTCACCCTGGGTAGAGTGCTGGGGTGTCATAGCTCAGAGCAACCTCTTGGGCTTGAGCAATCCTCTTGCTTCAGACTCCCGAGTAGCTAGGACAGGTACCCACTCCACACCCAGCTAGTTTTTCTATTTTTAGTAGAGACAGGGTCTCACTCTTGTTCAGGCTGGTCTTGATCTCCTGCTAGCAATCCCACCCATCTCAGCCTCCCGGAATGCTAGGATCACAGGCATGAGCCACTGCACCTGGCCGAGCATAGCAGTGGAACAACTATAACGGTGGATTCAGGACATTAAGCATTTGTTCAAACTCACAGAACATACAACTCAAGGAGTGGACCCTAATGTAAACTACAGACTTCAGTTAATAACAACATATCAGTATCGGTTCCTCAATTACTACATATGACCAGCATGAAGTACCATTGTGGTAAGGGGGGTATATGAGACTCTGTGTACTATCTGCTTAATTTTCTATAAACTAAAACTACTCTAAAAATAAAGTCTATTTATTAAAAATAAATTATATTTGGAAATTCCATTGTTTAATATTAAAGAAAAATGGGGATTGCAGAAAGCAGATCAGCTCCTGGTTGGGATGGTATTAACTGAGAAAGGGACACCAAGGAACTTTCTGCAGTGATAGAAATGTTCTGTTTTGATTTTGCCTGGGCTCGTAGTTGTTGGGTGTAGATCTTTGTCAAAACTTAACCATACTGCTCACTAAAAACAAACGCACTTGTTTTGAGTAAATTATACTTCAACAAGGTTAACTTAAAAAAATAGTGTCATCCTTCCGGAAAAGGGGGGATCCCCTTCACTGGTTTTGTCCTTGAATAGGCTGTTTTTCTTCATGTCTCCTTCCAGTTGCCACTTCCCCCTGGCTGGTCTCCTCTCTGCTACCCCCCACCCCAATGCAAACTTATAACTTCTAAATTCTTCCACTCTTGAAAGCAGCTGTGCTCTGTGGGGTCCCCTGCACAGACTTTGTCATCCAAGGCCCAGGTGAGACCAACCTGTCTCAGCACACCTGCCCTGTGACAAGAACTTGGGGACCATGGTGAAAAGCACATTTGTCTATGTCCTTCCGGGGCTCTGTGTGAAGCAGGGGCTGGCATTTACCTGCTTACCCCACAAATATGTCCTTACCCTACAGCAGCAGTTCTCAACCTGTGGACGGTGACCCCTTTGTAACAATGAAAATACATCGCGGCATTAGGAAGATTGAGAACCACTGCCCTACAGATACCTGCTCTCCAGAAACAATGGGGGGGGGGGTGTCCTGGTTCATAGTTGCCTGTCTCTACCATCAGCTACCCTGACATCTGCCTGAAGCCATTCTCCACAGGCTGAACAGGGAGGCGGCTGAAGTGTTGTAAGAAAGCTGGCTGAGTCCCCGCCTGCACCAAGACCCACAACAGCTCTCAGTGAGGAAGGACATTTGCCAAGTGACCTGCCAAGGCTATAAAGACAGGCCCATCCTAGCTGTCTGGCTCCAGCACCTGCAGCCTCTCTCATTAAAGAACTAAGATGAACACTAGCCAAGGTTCATGAAGGAATTCCTTGTACCTGGCAATCTATGTCTACATATAACCTTCATCTTTCTAATTGCTTTGCAATATGAGCATGACTATCATCCCTATTTTCAGATATGGAAACTGAGGCACAGTGAAGAGATAAAGAACCCGCCCCATACGGAAGCTAATTATAAAGTGACAGATCTGAGGTCAGGACTCAGGGAGAGCAGTGCTGAGGGCCACCTCCTGACATTCAAACTTTCTGCCCTTCCAATTAACAGTGAGAAACTGTGACCAGCTACATAGGTCTGCTCCCTGCCAGAACAAGAGCTGGCCCAAGGTTATCGTTCCCAGTGTGTATTGTGCTATGTGCACAGGGCCAGGCACACAGGAGGTGCTCACTAAAGAATCCTGCAATGAATGGATGCTGGTCCAAGGCCCAGGGGCAAGGGCTATAGGTGGTCAGTGTCCAGCATCCTATAGCAGCCTCCTGTCTGCTTGTGAGCCTATAGCCAAGAGAGGCCTCCTCTGCAGCAGAGCCATGAGTCACCGCAAGCCATGAGTCACCATGAGCTGTGAGTCACTTGGCATGGGAAGCAAAGTCCAGGCACTGGAGCTGGGCTGTGCAGCTTGGGGACTCCGTACTTCCTGTGGTTGCTTATGAGTTATGCCCACACACCATACATAGGCAGCACTCAGAAGCACCACAAGGCACGAGAAAGGAAACCACCTTGGTGCCAGGTCTTGATAAACAAGTCCCCAACGGTTTTTACAGGATGAAAGAAGATGGATCACTCTGGCACAAACCCACCAAGCCTTCAGCAACTCCCTATATCCCCACCCTTCTTGCCCAGCTGGCACCAGGACCATGAACCCCCAGCCCTGTTACTCCAACTTGAGCCTCCTCCTTCTCAGCCCAGATGGAAACACTCAGCCTGGCATCCACAGCCCTGTGGGAACCAGCCCCATCCACCCTCACCCAGTCCTCCAGGTCCCTGAGCCTTCCTTACTGGCAGCCCCAACAGCATCATACTGCCTGGGACTCATGCCCCAGGCTGAGAATACCTGTTCCTGTGGTTTCCACATGGTTAATTCACACAAGGCTTGCTGTCTTACCCCCAAGAGGCCTTCCTGAGTTCCTATGATCCCCAACAAACTAGGGTTCAGACACTTGGGCTTTGAGTTCCCCTCAAAATCACGTCCAGAAGTTCCCTTGTCCCAGTGCCTGGCTGAGCCAAGCTCACTCACTCCCTAGCACACCACAAAGCAGATAACTTGTAAAGCACTGCCCTGTGCCAATGCCTTCTCAGTGTTCCATAGGTCTGGCTCAAACACATGTGCACAAAGCAAGGGCTGGTACAAGGCAGGCCCCCAATCTGTGCACAGGGGCAGTGAGACCAGGACCACACATCTGCAGTCTTGCAGGACCATCCATCTTACCCTCCCGACGTTCTTTGGGCTTTGGTTCCCCAAGCTGAAAATAAAGGGTTGTGGGGGATGTCTTGAGCCCCACTGAGTACAGACTTCTGGGACACAGGTGAGTTGTTCCCATTCACTCTAAAAGGTGAGGCCTGATAAAGAGTCTTCAGGACCCCTTCCTGGCTGTGGTCTCTCAACTCTAGGGTCCCTTTGCGCAAGAGGACAGTGAGAGCAGGGTTGGATTGTCTTAGGCCCCACCCATACTCAGTCCCTGGGACAGGTTCCTTGGAAGTCAATACAGCTCTCAGCTGTGTCCTACATAGTCTGATGAACTTGCTAAATAAGCTGGAGAATCAGAGTTTGGGTGGAGAACAGACGAGGGTACTGGGGCCAGGGCTCTTGTCCTGGCACTGACCAGCTGAGTAGGCTGCCCTACTGAGTTACCTGCCCAATTCACGACTGTTTCCACATTCACACACAGACATGACATTCCACATGTCTTCATCTGACCATTCTGGACAGGGAGCCATTCTGACCATCCAACACAAGACCAGTGCATAGTAGGTGCTCAGAAACCACAGCCAAATTAAGAAAGTTCTGTAGGGATGACAAAGGGAAGCAGGTTGCAGCTGGGGTCTCTTCTGGTCTAGGCTGGAAGTCTTATCAGGCTGGTGTCTTGGAAGTCACCAGGTTCCAGCCTATGAGATGCCATTTGTGTGCAGGACTCAGACCAAGACTTTGGTGAGCACGGGGGAGAGCTGACTGGGAACTTCTAGGGACATGCTGACCTGCTGGGGTGCCCTGGTGGGAATGGCTGGGCTGGGGCCATCCTTGTGGTTCACAATAGGCTGGAAGTCTTATCTGGCCCGATGTCTTGTCCAGTTACTGTCCACGATTTGCCTAGACTTGTCCCCGGACAAGCTGTGTATGGCTGGGGTTCAAAGCCCCCCGAGGGAGCCCAAGAGGCTCCACAGAGTCCGACGGGTACCATACACTGCCCCGGAATGGATCATCTGTCCCACATCCTCACGGGGATGGCTGGGATAAGTTTAAAGCGTTGCCAGAATCACAGTAGTCTAACTGTGAATACTCGGCTGGTGTCATTTCTGCTAACTCTCAAAACCAATTCCCAGCCCTGGGACCCCTCCCAACACACAGATTTCCAGTTGCTGAGCCCAGATCGTGGCCCTGCAACTTTGTGCCAGAGCCATCCTGCAGACTCCGCCCTCCTGGGGCCCCGGAATGTGGTCCCTGCACTACCCCGGCGCCCAAGGTGCAGAAGCCCCAGAGACACCCACCACCTCGCGCGGCTGCATCCACAACACCATCGACAAATGACCGACCAAGGTCACTCAGCCCGCTCAGCCGAGGCGCGGCCCGTGGGCGACACTCGAGGCACAAGAACCCCTGCCTGTCCCAAGCTGGGCGACAGGACGCGCTCCCGCACTCCTACTACCCACTCCAGCCCCGTGCCCACCTGTCATGGCGGCGGACACTGCGCCGTGTTGCAGTCTACAGCTGTCCGCCCAGCCGCCCGTCGGCCCCTAGGTCAGCCGCCCGGCCCACCCGCTTCAGTGACCGCCGCCCGCGGGCAGTGCTCGGCCCGCCCCTTCCCGCTAGGCCCCGCCCCCCGGCGTCCTCTGTGCGGCCGCCGGACTCTAAGCCACGCCCCTCAGCGAGCCCCTCCTCTCTAGCGCCTTGTACGACGCTCCCAAAGGCCGTGAGCCCGGCCTCCGTCCTCACGGCCCCACCCCAGCCGCGTCTGCTACGGCACCTCCGGGGCCCTAATCCCCGCCCCTCATTCGAAACCCGCCCCCTCACTATCCCGTGCTCAGTCGCGTTGCCGAGCCCCAGCCCCGCCCCTTCCTGCGCTACCCAGCCCCTGCGGGCCATACGACGTCTCACGGAGTCCTGAGTTCCGCCCCTGACTGGGCCCGGCCCTGCTGGCGTAGGCTACGTAGCCGCAGGAACTTTAACTTGACTCTCGCTCGAGCCCGGTCCCTCACCCAAGTCCGGTCCCCAGCACAGCCTCTTCTTGGGCTCACGCCCGCCTCCCCGCCGCGCCCCTCTTGTTCTTGGCCACGCCCCCCTGGCCGCCAGGCGCCTGGTGGTTGAGCCGGAATCCCAGCGGCCCGCCCGCTGCCTGCTCTGTGCTCCATCCAAGCCCAGGCCACAGCGCCTGGCCCTGGGGGTAAGGAAACTGAGACTCTGAGAAGGGACATAACTAACCCAGCGTCAAGCAGGAGGTCAGGCCGTGGGGAATAAAGGGAGAGGCCTGAGGCAAAAGACTGGTGGGCGTCCAGTAACCCACAGGGCTCAGCCAAAGACTGCAATAGCAGACAGTGACACTGTGCTAATTTAGGGGAGAAGTTGGACTCAACTCTGTGACCTGGGTGGGGCATACCCCTTCTCAGGGGCCACCAGCCCATCTGCAAAAGGGAATACTAGCCTGGTAGTGTGTCTCTAAATAGGGAGGTCATTCAACCTGCCTGAGGCTCAGTTTACCGGACATTAAAATGGGTGACCCAGGCAATCTCTCCATCTTCCCTTCTGCTTTTCCTCAGTCACAGGCCTGGCCTTTTCAGCTCTGGCGCCCATCACAAGAAGTCCCCAGCCTCACGTGATAAGAATGCAGCTGGACCCATCCAGGAAATGGAGACCTGTGGAGGGGAGGGAAAATGGAGCCCTCTCACTGGCGGGCGAATTTTTGGTTTTACCTGTTTCCTTCTCTGCGTGTGTCTGCGGTTCCCCCATTAGCTTGTTCTAACTTGAGATGCTAAACCTGATCCAGAATGGGTACCCATTCTTAGTGTGCACTTCTCAGACATGGTGGTCCCTGCGGTCCGTGCTCCCTCCATCTCTGTGTCTCAGTTGTCCCTGTGCTATGATCTCCTATCATGAGTGGGGCATCTGGGCATGTAGAGAACGGGTGTGGTTGTCATCTGGAAACCCCCAAACCCTTGGGCCCAGTTATGATGTAACTGCTGATCCAGTCCTCAAACACAGGAGGTGAGTCCCTGCTCAGGCTCCCCATGAGGTGGGACAGGCTCGGAGCATGCAGGCAGCTTCTCTCAGCCATAGCGGCCCCAGACCCAGGGACAATATGGGCAGGGCTGACCCCAGCGTGGGAGTGTGGTGTGTTCTGGATTGTGGGTCCCTCCTGGTCTTTCATCTGTGTATGCAACTGGACATGGCCAGGCTGGCTCCAGACTGGGAGCCCCTGCACATACCCTACAGGGTCCTCCACAGAGGGCCTTTTGTCCACCACTGGGACATGGCCTGATCCCAATTATTCTGCATCCTTCACTAGCACTCACCTCCCTGGGTTCATTTCACTCCCTAGTAGATATGTCAGAGCCCTAAGGACAGGGATTGTGTGAAGGGGGACACAATAGCAAGAGTGAGGGCTCCAGGCTCTGCCTACCTTCAGTGAGCCCTAACCTCAGCCTCTTCCATCCACTCCTGCTCCCCCAGGACTGCACCTAGCCATGTGACAGATGGGTCCGGATGGACAGCACCAGGGTTTGTGAAGAATTCACTCTAAGCACTCAACCCCTGTGAACATACCTAGGTTCCTTGGAATGTGCCTTCCAGGCCTACAGGAATGAAAGGCTATGGTAGAGGGTAGGATAGCTCCTGGTGTGAGGGCAGTGGGGGTGGGTGGGTGGGTAACAGTGAGCCCAGAAGCCCACTCCAGGAGCTGTAAGTAGGTGTGAGCATCCCTGGAGTCAAAAGAGAGGGTCCGAGGGGCTCCCCCTCACCCAGGCATAGTACAGGCATATTCCCTCCTGGCCAGCTTCTGCCTGAACCCCAAATTTAGCTGTGTACCCAGAAGATGGATGTCCAAACTTTAAGGGTATGAACTGAGGTTGTCCCCCATCCCTGGAGAGTAACTGGAAGCCTTGTCCTTGGACATTGTCAAAGAAAATACAGGGTTGGAAAGTAGTTACAGTGGTTAAAAAAACAAAAAACAGATTTTATTCTGGACTCTTGAAATAAAGGAAGAGACGTTGAAATAGAGGAAGAGACCTCAGTATAGAAGGGTTCAATTTCTTGGGCTATGAGAGAGTGGCAGGACTGGGGCTATTACTGTGCAAAGGGGTCCTGGTGGATGATGAGGGGCCTGAACACTGAGGAGGAGCAAGGATATTGTCCTCCCAAATTCTCACATGGCCAGGGACTACCAGTGACCCACTCATTTACTCATTAATTCATTCAACAAATGTCTCCGACACATGTGGTCCAACTCAGAGCTAATTCACAGGGAAGGCGGAGGAAGCCGTGCCCCCATGAAGCCTTCATGTTACTGGAGGGGACACACACACATCTGCATGTCAGTGCTGATAAAAGAGAGTCAAGCAAAGTAAGAGGCAAAGGATGGCTCGCGAGGCCACCAGCCTCTAAGATGGCTCTAGCAATCCTCACATCTTAGATCATGCTCTTGTGTAGTCTCCTTCCTTAATGAATCAGGCTGGTCTGTGTGACTAGTGATGTGTGCAAAAATGATGGTGACTTCTGAAGCTGGGTCACAGAAGTCATTGTGGCTTCAGCTTTGTGCTTTTAGATAGCTTATTCTGGATTAACCAGCTGCCACGTTACAAGGATGCTCAAGCAGCCCTGCACTTTTCACCATGTAGGGAGAAACTGCAGCCCCTGGGGAACAGCCAACACCAACTTTCTGTGACTGAATCACCATGGAAATGGATCCTTAAGCCCCAGTCAAGTCTTCAGATAAGACTGCAACCCTGGTGGACACCTGACTGCAATGTCATGAAAGACCCTGAACCAGAACCACCCTATGGAGCCCAAATTCCTGACTCACCAAAACTGTGAGAGATATTAAATGATAATTGTTTTTGAGCTTCCATGTTTTGGGAAAATCAATTACATGGCAATTCTAAAGTATTCTAGAAGAACCATCTCATACAGGACCCCCAAGGGAAAAATGATCTTTCTGTGCCTGAGGGCAGCCAGTGTGGCTAGAGAAGAGTAAAGGAACCAATAAAAGGGAGGGGTCAAGAGGTAGGCACATCACATTGGGTCATGCAGACCAGGCAGCTGGGAGCCCACAGTTTGAGAATTGTGAGCTGGAGGAAGGGTATGCTGATATTTTGATTTATATATTTTTAACAACCTCTGTATACACAAAAGTGAGAAGAGATATTTGTATTCCATGTTCATAACAGCATTACAATAGCCAAGACGTGGAAACAATTCAAATGTCCATCCCCAGATGAATGGATATATAAATGTGGTCTGTCCATACAATGGAATATTATTCAGTCTTCAAATGGAGGGAAATTCTGATACATGTTACAACATGGATGAACCTTGAAGACATTATGCTAAGTGAAATAAGCCAGACACAAAAGGACAAATACTGTATGAGCTCATTATATAAGATACTTAAAGTAGTCAAATTCATACAGACAGAACAGTGGCTGCCAGGAGCTGTGGGGAGGGGAAATGGGGATGTTAGTGTTTAATGGGGACAGAGTTTCAGTTAGGAAGATGAAAATGTGCTGGAGATGGATGGTGGTGATGGGTGATGGTGGCACAAGAATGTGAATGTACTTAATGCCAGTGAACTGTACACTTAAAATGATTAAAACAGCAAATTTTACGTTACATATATTTTACCAAAATTAAAAAAAAACAAACCCAGTAGCTGTGAGGTGGTTGAGTCTAGAAGTCCCCGACTGGAGACAGGGAGACCATGTAGAGGCTATCTTAACAGTCTAGGCAAAAGGAAGCTTGACCCAGAGTGGCAGTTGTGGAGGCGGGAGAAGGGGTGGATCCTGTCTGAAATTTGAGGACGAGCCAAAGGACCTGGCTATGGGGCCTAAGAGTAAGTGAAGAGCCATCGGGTTTGGGCCTGGAAGAGGGGAGAGAGGAAGACCCAATAGCTCTTCTCTGGCCATTCTGAGTTTAAGAAGTCTGAGGGCAGGGTGGTGCCTGTGGCTCAAAAGAGTAGGGTACTGGCCCCATATACCAGAGGTGGCAGGCTCAGAAACCCAGCCCGCTCAAAACTGCAAAAAAAAAAAAAAAAAAAAAAAGACATCTGAGGGCATCCATATCTAAGCTCTTTCTGCGTGACCAACAGAATAGTGTTCTGGGCCCTGCCAGCTCCCACCGCCTATTCTTTGGAATGCTGACTCTTAAAACCCAGCCACCATGATGGAAAGCAATACCACATGGTGTTTCAATGGAGAACCCCAGCTGAGATCTCAGGCAACAGCTAGTATCCCCTGCCTGGCACATGGGTAAGGATGCCCTGGGAGGTTCAGCCTCAGGGAGAGCCAGCTGCAGCCTCAGGGAGAGCCAGCTGCAGCCTCTGTTTAATAGTAAGCACATGTGAGAAACACAAAAATGAACCAGCCAGTAAACACACAGAACCAGGAGAAAGAATATCATGCTGGCTGCTTCTGTTTGAAGCCACTAAGTTTTGGGGTGATTCACTGTGGAGCAACAGAAAAATGAAACACGAGGTAACCAAACTGTTGAGGAATCAACTCATGAGACACAATTTTTTCCCCAACCGCTGTCCCTCAACTGGAGGATATTCTACTGAGTGATGACATCTCCTGTTGATGTTTAGCCTTATAACTTTACAGCCACTTCTGGTTATTAGAATGGCAACATTCCAGCATTTAAGTCTGACACATGTTTCTTTGTTAACTTCGCTTTCTATCAAATGAAAACCATGGGTCTCACCAACATGGAATTTGAAAGACAACCGAACCAGTTATTAGAGGATTTGAGGCAACAATAAGGATGACATGGTAGCCTGGGTGCTGCACGCAGCTATGTAATTCCCTTCTCCTTTTACCCAACCAAAAGAGTGACCCTACTGGTGACTTTGTGACTGCATAGAGTCACATATTTAGCCTGGTCAATGCCTTATGAACCATAGTGATGTGTGTCCCCTCCAGGCTGGAGTACTCTGTTGCAGGTGCAAGCCCCTCCAGCATCTTCTTCCCTGCCATGAGACTGCAGACATATTGGAATCAGGGTTGCTCCACCAGCTGGGGTCCTGGCAACTCCACTAAGCAGAGGCCCTGCAGACTGCGGCTGGAGACAGTGAAACTAGGAAACAGAATTGGTGGTTGAGGCCCCTGGAGATTATTTTAGTAGAATAGCCTCACTAATCTTGATGGACACAATAATAGAATTTGTTTTTTCAGCACAGAAGGTAAGTATAGGTGTGATGTTCTAGGCAGAGGGAACAGCGTGTGCTAAGATGGAACAATATGTGCTAAGGCCTTGGATGGGAATGAGCTGGGTATGTCCAGGAAAATCATAATGGTAGGTTGTTACCTGGCTGTTCCTACTAGTAGTGGGAACTAGGCCTCTCAGGTTTGTGAGGGGGAGGATTTGGGGCCAACTCTCCTTTCCCCCTTTTCCCCTGGAGCAGAGCCCCACAGTTTTGACAATGCCTGTGGAAGGACATGACTCTCCACTCCATGGCCTTTCCCATGGAGTGAGACCCTCTGGCCATGATGCAGGCTTGTAGGGAGGGAGGGGCGTCCAGTGTGTTACAATGGGCAGTGGCTCTGCTCTGTGACCAGGCCCCATGTAATCCCCCTTCCAACCCGTCTGCTCACTGTGGCCCTTCCATAGCCACCTGGATACCCATTTCTGTAACTGTTAGCTACTGGGAACAAAATTCCTGTCCCCTCAAACCTTAACAGGCAGGCTTCTTGCCTCCCACCTTAGTTCTGATACCTGGCCTGCCCTGCATGGCAGTGGGTCTACAGCCCGTCTACCTGGCTCCTACCTCACCCCAATGAGGATTAGTGGGGTGGAGAAGGCTTGGTGGGGGCTAGAACTTAGCACAAGAGAAACCAGAGCCTTTTGTCATCTGTGCTGATCCTTGGCCTGAGCCGAAGTCCCAAAAAGAGCTGAGTGGTCTCTGAACCCCATGATGCAAATCAGCATCTGCCTGTATCCAGATTGGCGGCAGTAGGGTGGGCCATGGGCATGTATACTGCTGCCTGGCCCTGGCCTTGGCCTGGCCTGCATCTGAGCCTGCAGGACCTTCAGGGCACGTTGCTGGGGTTATTGCTCTCCACTCCCATCATAGCTGGGGAGAGCTTTGATGAACCCCAACAGATTAAGGATGTATCTCCTGGTGAGGGCTGGGTCAATGTTTTCTCTGCCTTTGTCTCCCTGTGCACCCATAGGGACCCCGAGATGCCCCACAGCATGACATGAAAACCACCCCTCACATCCTCTGGTCTCACAATCCCTCTCCAGGAGTCTGTCCAAAGGAAATTGCATCCCAGTACCATAGTGTGTACAAAGGTGACAGCCAAAATGTGAAACTACCTAAGTGTCCCTCAGGTGGGGATTTATCACATAAATTATGGCACATTGGTCAGATGGACTCCTCTGTAGTCTGTACCAGGAAAGCATTCTATCTGTGTGCTATAAACATGTGGCAATGTGGCTTCAGCTGGCAAAGGATAGTGCAGGTGAGGCCTTCTCCCTCCTGACTGCCAGCTCTCCCTCCTCAGGGTCCCAGCACAGTTCCTGGGCCTTCAGGCAGAAAGCAGGGGAAGGTCAAAGCACAAACTCCAGTGACTTTTCTCAATGGCCAGAGACAGGTCACATCCCAAATTATGGGAGGCTGGAGGTATATTTTTACCTGGCCCAAGCCAAACCTGGGGCTCAGAGGTAAGAGAGATGGGGTGTGAAACTACAGAATGAGCTCTGAGATCATCTTATTTTGAAATTTCATTTAAAAAATTTTTTTCAGCTGGGTGTGGTGGCTCATGCCTGTAATCCTAGCACTCTGGGAGGCTGAGGCAGGTGGATTGCCTGAGCTCACAGGTTCTAGACCAGCCAGAGCAAGAGTGAGACCGTGTCTCTAAAAATAGCTAGGTATTGTGACGGGTGCCTGTCTTCACAGGTACTTGGGAAGATGAGGCAAGAGAATCTCTTTTTTTTTTTTTTTTTTTTTTTTTGAGA